GGAGAGCTTGCACTTCCCGGTTTGTCTCTTCCAATCGGATGATTGAATCGAGACTGCCTCGGGTTTTGGGCTTCTTGGCGTAGAGGCTCCTTCCCCTTCTCCTTTTGCTGGACTTTCTCCGCGGCTACAGGTGTTGGGGGAGTTGCGACAATCCCCAGCTCTGCTAACGTCTTGGAGGGAATGGTTTTGGTTGCCCCCTGCTTAGCCAATTGCTCAGAAGCATCCGGATATTTATAGTGATATTCATTCCCGCTCCGGGTTACAAAGGTCTCCTGTTCATCTTCAGAAAGCGGGAAGGCTAGAATTTTCTCGTCGTCTTCTCCTGGAATAGCAAAAGCTCCATAACAAGATTTACCTTTTCCTTTTGACCTTTTCTTGGAAGAGGCTCCAGACCATTGTTCATCTCCAATCAAATCTGGATGAACCCAAAGAATTTCACCATTCGGGGCTGTGTGCGGTACAAGTCCTTTCTGGCGCTGTTTGTGAGGATCATCGTTCACGGTCCTCACTGCTGCATTTATTACCGGCTCATGCTGGAACCAGTTCAAGGGAACAGAACCGAAACTAATCGATACCGCATTTGCACCCACCTTCTTCTCCTTAGGTTGCTTCATAGTAATGACCCCGACGTCGATCAGAGCTTGGATCTTATCTTTAAGGGCATAGCACGCCTTGGTAGGATGGTGCACTGCTCTGTGAAATGCGCAGTATTTTGGATCATTTGTGCTTTTCCTCTTCCCTTAGGGGCGAAGTTTGGTTGCGGAGCATTATTAGCTATTTGCCCTCTTTCCGCCTTCTTCCTTTTGAGGAATCGTTCGGCTCGTTCTCCTCGCACCTTCAAGTCCTTCCAGGTCTTTGGCGGTGCCATTCCTATGGCTTCCAGGATGTTCAATGAAAGATTTTATGACAGGTCTCGAGGATGAAATCTTCGCTGACCGGATCCCTGCAATTCATTGCTTTATTTCGGAATCTCTTCACGAAGTTTTCGACTGTCTCACCATTCTTCTGCTTCTCATCAAATAGAATGCCGAATGAGATCTCGGTGTCGTCGTCGAAGAAGTTCGTTAGAAACATATCCTCCATGTCGTCCCAACTGCTGATACTCCCCGTCTTGAGGCGACGATACCAATCGAAGGCGGCTCCGCGAAGAGTGCCAACGAATGACCGTACCATTAAGGGTTCATTCCCGGAGATTATTCCTAAGTGAGACTTAAAATATATTAAGTGTTGGGTAGGGGAACCCTTTCCATCAAACGGCGTAAAGTTGATTAAATTGAACTTTGCCGGATATGGAATTGATTCCCACTCCCTTGGGTATGGACATGGTATGCCGGACCTCTTCACTTCTTGAGCATTCATCAACGCGTTGATTTTGCTCTCCAAGTCCTTCATTTTCTTGTCTTCACTCGTATCTGCCTTCGAGTGGTTTTGGGGAGAGGTAACGTGGCCCTCCTTTGCATTATCATCCGAGGGACCGCCTCCGTTATTGTTGTTGACAGGAGGGATAGTTATGTTGACATTATCCTCTTCCCGTTCATTCTCCTCTTAATTCGGATTATTGCGATGACTGGGTTCTCCTTGGTGAGTTGTCAGTGCCGCGATTTGCTGGTCATGCATCTCCCTCATCTGCTGCATGGCCATCTCCATCTCGAACTTGAAAGCTTCCTTCTGCTTAGTTAAGGCATCTTCAAGCATCTTGGTTACTTGTTCGACACTAATCATAAGCGACTCATAGGGCTGTCCCGCACTAGATGCCGTGCCGTCGGACGCTATAGCCGAGCAGGAATCCGAACCATCATCTGACACTTCTTCTTCCAAAGGAAGTCCCTTTTGCATCCTTTGGTAATTCCTTCGCCTATTGGTTCCTGATCGCAATCGAGTCATACGCTGGGATATTTCGGCAAACTGATCTGGGCTAAAGCATCGTGTCGATTTGATATTAGCAGACACTTCTAGGAATTCGTCCTCTTGACGGACAGGCTTCTTCCTACGGAAACGCCTTGGCTTGGTCTCGGACGTTCTGGTGGAAATTCTCTCGAACACCGAAACTCTCCTTAGGGCTTTAGTATAGCAGTATTCTGACAGTACCGCCTTGATTATATTGGCACACGGACAGTGAGATTCCGTGTCTCGAGCATCTCTCTTTCGAGACTTACCCGCACCCCCAGCTCTATAGTACAACTCATCAGTTTGATAACTGGAGCAACCCATAGAGTATTGGCATGACTTCCCAGGTATAACACCATCATCATCAGACGAATGTGTTTCCCTCTGGGGATATGACGCTTTATTAGCGTTTTCAAAAGTCGCTCGTTCAAGTCTACGCTTTTGCGAGCGTGAAAACTTAACGGGCTCTTGAACTTCGACCCGCAATCCAATGCGGTCGGTAACAGGGGCTTTCCCTTTGTTATCTTTCTTAGGGGGATTAGCCCGACCCCCATTATGGTTTGTTGTTTGGGGACCTTTCAACGGTCCCAATCGCTCCTTGACAGGTGCCTTGCCTCGATCTTCTGGTAAAGGGCCGAGGCGACCTCTCAAAGGAACCCTGGATCTTGAAGAATCCATGTTCTTACCTGGCTCCGTCGGAGGTGCGGGAGCAGGGGAAACGGGATCTGGATTTGAAGAAGGTTGGACGATACTTCCGTCCACTTTTTTCTTAGGCGCCGGCTTCGCCTTTGGCACCCACACCCGCTTGTGTTTTGATGGTTTCTTGACCGTCTCTTCTTTCTGCATCTCTTCCGCTTTCTGCAGAAGGACTCGGGCATGCGCAAGCAACGCGCGGTGTTTCTTGATTCGCTCTTCGAGAGTGGAGCGAGTCCTCTTGACGCGGACCCATTCATTTGTCTCCGCTTTAGAGAAGGAGTTAGTTGTTCGCCGTTGTTGCACCTGGCGCTGTCTGGACTTTAGATCCTCATTGTAACGGATCCCGTCCATCGATTCTGCGGCCTTAGCAAACTGTCGCGCAAGGCGTTGACGCCGTCTTTGGCGTGCCCTCTTCGACAAGGTTCGAACACCTTCAGCGGTTGATTTTGCGGCTGAAGGGAGATCTGGATCTGCAGCTTCGACCACGTTAGACGCCATAGGAGCGTCGCGGGGAGTAGGTGCAATAGCGGTGAGGGGATCTTGGATCTCCGATCCTGAGGGCCCGCGAGCGCTCTTGGAAGAGGAAATCTTCCTGCGCCTGTTTGGAGAGGCAGATCTGGAGGAGAAGGAAGAGAGGTACTCTTCAAACTTCTGTTGATCGAACTCGTATTCGATCTCTTCGTTCACCCGGATCTTGAAGGCCGGTTGCGTCACGACGGCCTCGGCAACGAGGCCGTTGGCTCCCACTGTGGTCGCCAGTTAGTTTTCGTCGAAAGTTGCCTTCATCATTGATTTCATTAAACTTTAAATGTTACAAATGAATTCAAACAACAAAGAATAAAAAGATTACAACTTTCTTGAAAATAAACACAAGATCCGTTCATCGTCTCTTGCTTGCGTGGGTTTTTAGCCTGTGACGGGGATGTCGATATCCGTGGACTACCTGGCAATCAGATCTGGTCCAGAGCTTCGTCGATCCGCGAGGAGATCTAGAAACTTGAAGCGCCTATCTCGATAAAAGCGAGATAATTGCTCTTCTTAGAATTACCACAACGGGATAAGACTAAGGATCGGATGCGGGTGATGTAGATCTGACGAAGAAACTCTCTTGCGTTGAAGTGCTCGATCACTCTTTACTCCGGCAGGGCTTCGCCAATTCTCCAAAATTCCAGATCTGAAAAAATGAGGGCCTGGGGCTTGTATTTATAGGCTTGAGGGGTTGCGGAGCGGTTAAAACCACCTAAAGGGCTAAAATCCGCATTGGAGACACCCTAGGGTGTCTCTCAAAATCCGAGACACCCTAGGGTGTCTCCCAAAATCCGAGACACCCTAGGGTGTCTCCCAAAATCCGAGATAGTTTGTACCCTCTTCAGTATTTTGGTTCTAATTCTTTCATCCGAACTCGGATTTGAATGATTCAAGATGTATTGGAAATATGACAAAGAGAGCTACAACTTTCATGTTTTAAGTTTCTTCAGATTCTAACGGGATCATGGTCAAAACAGCTTCACAAGTTCCGAGATACCTTTGGGTGTCTCGGCGCTATTTTCGTCATAACTTCCTCATATGACCTCCAAATGACATGATTCCAGATGGATAGGAAAGCTGACAAAAATATCTACAACTTTCCTGTTTTGAGTTTCTTCATATTCTAACGGGATCATGGTCAAAACAGCTTCACAAGTTCTGAGACACCTTTGGGTGTCTCCAACTTGTGCGGACACCCTGGGGTGTCTCCAACTTGTGCGGACACCCTAGGGTGTCTCAAACTGGGCCGAGACACTCCGTTAATAAGCTCCAATGATTAGATCATCTGTGGAATCAACTGGGACACGAGGGGCGTGGCACCTTTTGTAGGCGACGCGGGGCTCTCGATCAATTCGTATCCTCGTTATTTTGAAACTCCGACGCTTCACGTAGTTCGTTGATTCACTTCAAGCATTTGCCAACGTCAATCGACTTCTGTGAACCGGATAGTGACGTTCATCGTCGTTCTTTAACACTGAGCTGTTTGTGGAGACCTATAGGCAATTTTCGATGCCTACACAGTGCAGCTCTAGATCAGGTATCAGGGTGTCACAGCAGGATCATTACAAAAGAAAATTAGAACTCGAGTTGAGTAAGTATTAATCAGATGTCTACAAGAGAAATCAACAAGAAAGCACACAATATAGTTTCCCCAACTGCTTAAAGATAACGAAGACGAAAAAGGTGAAAAAATGCATGTATTTGGCTTCCCTTAGCTTTCATCAGGCCTGTGAAGATTGGAAGCAGAATGGCACAACGAGCAATTAAGTGATGATATAACAGCTTACGGATTTTGCAAACTTTTGAGCGAGAGGAGGTCCATCCTGACTTCATTTGAAGGTAAAGCCTGCTTTTTCTTCTTTTTTCGGCTTGAGCTTGTAATATGCCACAGTACCAAAGGGGTAAAGCATTCTATATGCAAAGTGATTATTTTGTTGCAATGTGACTTAATTTATACTCCAAGCTCATTATAACTGTAGAAAAGATATCGTTAATTTTCAGACTTAGGCTATCACTTAGGTCTAGTGAAGATAACAACAGCTACAAGGGTCATGATCACCAGTATTGCTTTACTTAAGGGTTGAGATACCAAATTACCCTGTAAAATATAAAATGAAATATACCGTCACACATTATTTTCTGTGATACTCTTCATAAGATTTGTTCACAGAATTACAGGTCTCATATATATCTCCCTATGGTTTATGTTTTCTATTGATAACATCTGCTAGGTCTGAAAATAATACTTATAATAGAATACTCAAATAATGTAATATCAAACTTTTTGAGGAAGAAAATAAGAAAAAGAAAAGAAAATCTCTCATATGGGCTGAAATTCCAATTTGCTATTCCTCAGCATGCTGTCACTCGTTACTTGTAGCGAGCTTTTGGCAATTAGCTTCGAGGAAAGCCCAACTTGATCAGAGTCACGGCGAAAAGTATCTACAGATCAGCATTTGTAATTATTTAATGGATTAATGTTTTGGATCAGCATTTGTGTAGCTATGGATCACACATATATATATATATCCAAGTCCTTAACACGTTTACATCTTGCATGTTTATTCCAGTTTCAAGTGGTAAAAGATAAAGCCACCTAAAATATAAAACCATCATTGTGATAGTAGAGGTAACATGTGACTGTTTTATTCCTAGAAATTGGAATGGACGGTAAGGGGATTGAGTAGGTTCAACATTTTCCACCTATTTGGAAATGTTTGCAGCTTTGGTTACACACAATATAGGACTTACAAAATTGAATGCCTTAGGATCAACCTAATGAAAGATACATATTAGAAATGCATCATAATCAAGTATACACTAAATAAAAAGAACAGAATTCTCAATAAAATGAAAATTTTGTACCTTTGAGATGAGACAAGCACTCCTTACTTGAATTAGCTAAGAATCCATCAAAATCACCAAACCCTAATGCATTCATAAGAAATCATCAAAAAATTAGAACTATTCGGTTAAAAAAATTGTGAAGAATAACATTGAGATGAAGAAAAGTAGTCCGACCTGAAAACTAGAAACTACTCCTTAAGAATAAAGAGAATAAAATCAGCACTAATAAACACATTAAACACGAAACTCGCAAACTTTTTTGGCATGTTACGCTCGTTATTTTGAAACTCCGACGCTTCACGTAGTTCGTTGATTCACTTCAAGCATTTGCCAACGTCAATCGACTTCTGTGAACCGGATAGTGACGTTCATCGTCGTTCTTTAACACTGAGCTGTTTGTGGAGACCTATAGGCAATTTTCGATGCCTACACAGTGCAGCTCTAGATCAGGTATCAGGGTGTCACAGCAGGATCATTACAAAAGAAAATTAGAACTCGAGTTGAGTAAGTATTAATCAGATGTCTACAAGAGAAATCAACAAGAAAGCACACAATATAGTTTCCCCAACTGCTTAAAGATAACGAAGACGAAAAAGGTGAAAAAATGCATGTATTTGGCTTCCCTTAGCTTTCATCAGGCCTGTGAAGATTGGAAGCAGAATGGCACAACGAGCAATTAAGTGATGATATAACAGCTTACGGATTTTGCAAACTTTTGAGCGAGGTTATATATTGTGGAGATTTCGATAGTCGTTTCTGAGCTAGTTATGTTTGCAGATCCTTGGATAGCTGAGAGTGTATCTTAATCTAGGATTGTAGCAGGTAAGGCTAAGAGTCTTAGCCTGTTCTCTTCAGTGCTTTCACTAGTAGTTTGTCCAGTATTGTCCCGAGACAAAAGCATACAAATGAGCTTTTGTATTGTCCTGAGACAAAAGAGATTTGTCCGAGCAGTGTTTATCTCCGTTGCAACACGAGGACTCCTTAAACGTGATGTAGATGAAAAAAGTTTAAACCCTGTCTGAACTTGAAGTCTCTGAATTTAAATTGAACAAAGAGAGACATAAATCCATAGTAAAACACCAGAGGGGACATTTATACTAGTTTGTGAGTACTACTTAAACGAGACACAATGGATGGCGAACTGGACATGTACTCTTCATTGGATGCCATTGTCTACTAATATATTATTGATTTCCAAACTGGATGACAAAGAATATGAACTCTGGCTGAAAAGGATACAAACAGGATGCAAATTTTTCAGCTTCTTGTTTGAATCATAGAATCATATGGGAAAACTAAAAAAATGTGTATTTTCTATTTCTAATGCCGAACAATTCCTTACATTTCTAAGTGTCCTGTAAAAAAGTAATACCTCATAAAGATGCAAGAGAGAATGATATATCTTTTTTAAAAAGAAAAAACGACATGATACTTCTCCATTCAAATTTGAGACTGACTTTTAATTATAGATACTTCTTCATAAAGGTGATATTTCCTTTATCATTTAATTATAGTATTATAGATAGGTGAAAAGTCCCACCAACCAATCTCTAACTAATACCCTATTTATCATTTAATTATAGTATTATAGATAGGTGAAAAGTCCCACCAACCAATCTCTAACTAATACCCTATTAAATCACCAAAGTAACCCAAGTGAAACTAAATATCTACAACAAGAAAATAATCACAAATTAAAGATCAGATGAAAAAATCACAGTTGTAACTTTGAAAGTATATTACCATAATCACAAGCTGAGAAGATTGAAAAAAGCACTTACATATTACACTGATGTTGAAGAAGAAAAGGGTTTTGGGGCTAAATAGCTGCAACAATTCAATCAAACAAAATTATTATTACAAAAAATCCTCTTTGTTATCGGGTCGGGATTTGATAAATGACAAAGGTTGGGTTGGAATTTGAAATCAGAGATTTTGGGCTTTCAAATTCCTATTTGTTAAATCAATTGATTTAAAATCTAGGTTCAAATCAGAACCCAAACTAGATATTTGGATTTGAAATACCCTGGATTTTAAATCCAGGCCCAAATCCAAGTTTCCAAACACACCCTAAAAGTAAATTTTCACTCTCCTCCCTATGATAGCAACATGTTGACTCTCAAATTGTGGTTTCAAAATGCAAGCTATCATAAAAAATAAAAAAGCTCTTCTTCTGAGAAAAGTCCTTGCGTTTAACGTAATTCTGGCTGTACTCTTCTCCTAGTTTTATAGGTAAATTCTTTTTCCATTGATATTCTGAACCAAAGGACAGTTGGATGTTGCAAGATAAGAGTAATGCAATTTTCTTTTAATGAAAGGAAAATTAAAAAAAAAGAGTACTGACTACTGAGAATATCTGAATTAGCATCTTTATTTGCGATCATATTTGACTAGGCATTTGGAAGCAGTAAATGGGGATTATGTTGATTAATGGTTTTGGTCGTTAAACATGATATTTTAAGAATTGTGAAAAATAAGAAAATTTTATAGTCAACTTATATTCTCTTGATTATGGAAAAAGTTGATGTTCAGACAATCCCATATGCATTGATTTATCTACAATCATAGTTAAATGATACATGACAAATGGCTAATTTTATTTTCTAATGTCAGTGTATTGTATATGAGGGGAATCTGTGCTTTGACATCATAGATAATGCGCCACGATGCCTACTCTTCAAACTTCTGTTTGTATGGCAATGTACGCCAGCCTCGATTATTTGAAATTGGAGTTGAATGTAGCACTCGTAAACTTATATGTTTGGGTCTGCAATTCTGTCCTTTGCTTGCATTCCTTCCCTGGAATTTAAACTTTTAGCTTTAACATTTTTAGTGTCAGATTGATCACTAGCATTATCATTTTTTTATTTCATACAAACCATTGTGTCAAAATGATTTCAGAGAAGCTGAACTTTGATTACTTGCATTGGTATTTCTGAAAGGAAGGACCAGATTTCTGAATAAAGATTTGTTTGTAATATTATCGAGGAATTTTTCCAAACCCCGAGTTTGAAACTGATCTACTTTACACCCATCTACTTACCGAAACTGCTTTTATACCCAATCCCCAATTTAAAATAGATTTATGGTAGCATATCTGCTACATAACTAGCAGATTTCTTTGCAGATACACTACTTTTAGTGGGCTATGTCATAAAACTTGGATCGGTATTTTGGGTATAGAATTGATTTTCAAAATAGACCTTTATATAAAAATAAATTAGTTTCAAAATTAGGATATAAAACCATTTTTGTCCAAATTATCTATTATTTTAAGAAGAAATAGGTCTCTACTTATGGTTGTTATTAGCTGTTACCTTCTCGAAGTTGTTAACAGTTTTTTGGGTTTTACTACGTAGGATATAGGTTTGCCAGATGAGATTTTTGTTCGCATGAGAGATGAGAAACGATAGATCTAGCTTTCTTACTTTTCAGTAATATTTGTTGCAACATTTTGAAATGAAAAGAGCTGGATGAATTGGTGGTCATAAGTTGTGTCAATTTTATCCGTGTATGTTTGAACTTTTCTCTAGTTATAGTTCATGTATACCACCAGTTTGTTTTCCCATGATCTGTAGCTATTGTGTGCACTTATCTTGGTCTGTAAGACTGTAACTGCTCAAATTCAGAGTTTTTTTTCTGAATATTGCTTAATGATGCTGTACCTTCCAGCGGGAATCCGTGTAGGATGTGTGATGCATTCTTCATAACTAAGGACCTTCTATTTTTACCAACTTATGAGATTTGTTGGGTTCCTGTTTTGATTTTTGACAGCTGAGGCTGCTGCAAGAGCGACATCAGCATCAGGATGATAATTTCCGACTATTTTGGGTTGTAATATCCATGTTATTTTTAATGGGAGTGGTCATTTTGTATGCCTTCTTTGGATGCCAAATTTGCAAGAGTGGTCATTTTGTAGAGGAGAGGAGATTATTGTGTTCTCAAATCTACCGTACTTGACTATATTTGCATGGGACATGGATTTTCTATCGGAGGGACTGCTGAGGTTGCTGCAAGACCGACAACTGTATTCGGATGATAATTTCACACTTGAATTGCGTTGTACTGGTTAGAATTAATATAAAACTATAATCTTTGATCCTCACCATAACTCCGGAGTTTTTGTGTAATGGTTAGAGGAACTAAATTTAAGATGGTATCAGAGCAACCCAGGTTCAAATCTCACCGGCCACGAATTAAATACGGATTTTATAAAAATTAACACTGCTACGTGAGTCCAGTTTTTAACCCATAAAAAGGGTGCTAGGAACTAAATTTAAGAGTACTAAAGATGTTCTTTTCAGTAAGGGCATGTTTGGTTCGTTTCCTTCGTTTTCCAAAAACGATTTTCCTTCATTTTTTTCGTTTCCTTTATTTTCCATGAAAGTGTTTCTTGTGTTTGTTTCGCCAAAAAATATGGGCTGGAAGTACTTTCCACCACTTTTCTTAGTTTGGTTCAACTTGAAAAAAGAAGTAAACAATTGATGTGTGAATAGATTCTCTCATTTTCTAGTGTTTGGTTCAAACTAAAAAAATCAAGAAAACTTGATTGTGGTCACCATGATGTGATTACCACCCATATAAGACAAAATATTAACAATAAAAGTTGAACATTTTCAATGATGATTTGGAACACATAAAACTGATACAACAGCGCATTTAACATTGTGTTCCTCATTAAACATCGAGTTTTTGATTGTTCGATGAACATTTTCACTCCTCACTGATGTTTGCTACATTTATACCACGCTTTGCATCTAAGTTTGATCCCTTCATCATATAACCACCCATTTTCTTGAAATATTGGTGGTAGCCATAAGCGGACAGTAAAGAACCAAGCTGAAAGATATGGTTTATTTTTTTTTTTTTTGAGCTGAAAAACAGGGGCTAAGCCCTGCTCATATATTATAAAAGCACTGAACAAAGTTTACAAAAGGAAAAAAAACAGTGGATATACGAGAGTATACCCATCCAAAAAAAACAAAAGACCAAAAGATAGGCTTCACCATCCGAAAGCCTACCAGAGTTTTACCAGAACATCAAAACCAACTATTCTAACTACCCGACAAAAGCATAGTTATCAGAACATCAAAAAACAGAGGCTAGAAAAAAACTTAGATAAGAGTCTTAACAACAACATTGATCTTGAGATCCAGAGGTGGTATCAATCCAGCTACTTCCTTCACTTACTGGAAGTTGTCTCCAACATCATCTTCACCTCTCTTTTTAGCAATTT